ATTTCTGACATTTTGGATTGAAAAATCTTCCTGGATGGAAGAGAAACGTCTTCAAACTGGGAAACAAAGTCCAATGGATTGTTTTTAATGCTTTTTGAAAGAAGAAAAAACATTAAAAAAAATTAGAAAATAAATTCTGAAAATATAAAATCTAAAAAATCTGTATGTTGACCAATAGGAACGAGTCTTTCAAGCTGCCGGTGCTCAGAATGTGAAATGGGAAATCAGATTGGAAAAGAATGCTTTTTTTTTATAACGCTATCTCCCAAAATCTGTCAGAAAGAAATAAAATCTGGAAATAAACTTTGAAAAACGAAAAATTGAAAAATAAATATTATCCACCTTCTCCCACCTCATCTTTCAGGGTTGGACTGGTTCTTATCTCCAGCAGGCTGTGGGTGAAAGGCGGGTCACACCTGGACGGGTCACCTGTCCATCACAGCATGGCCACGCCCACTCACAGCTAAAGTCAATTAGTGAACATAACAGTCAAGTTTTTGGACTGTGGGAGGAAGTCGGAGTACCCAGAGAGAACCCACGCATGCACAGGGAGAACATGCAAACTCTATGCAGAAAGACTCCAGACTGGGAATTCAACCCAGAACCTTCTTGTTGCAAGGCAGCAGAGCTACGAACTGCACCGCTGTGCAGCTGAACAGAACATCTGACAACATGAAATAAAATAAAATACTCTCAAAACCTTTTTTTTTTATGAAACATTTTTAAACGATCAATTTTTGAATGTTTTCTGGGTCGACTTTAGATCCTTCATTCATACTTCAGGAAATTTAGATGTAAAACACTGTTTGAAGACTTCAAAGCTAAATCTGTTCATCTATGGGTCACAGAAGCTCCGCCTACTCCTCCTTCAGCTCTTCATGCTTGCATATAGTTTGAACTGATGAACGTTGGGCCGTCTCTTTCCTCTTTAGACTTATTTCATGATTTCACTTTTGAAAGCAGAACCTGAAGTTACCTGAAGTTTATCAGTAAACAAAGTTCATCATCACCATCATCATCATCATCATCATCATCATCATCATCGTCTTCATCAGGTTCTGAATTTACGAAATGTTACTAAAATGACACCACTGATTGTGGAGATCATTGCTGACCTACATGTTTTTTTTAACAGTGTATCTAAATATTTTATTTCAGTAATAAACTGAAA